ACAAAAAAAAAAAAAAAAAAAAAAAAAAGACCATAGGGTGCAGTGGTGGACCAAGCGCATTTGTGAAGGAGGCCAAGCGAGAGGATTGCCTGAGCCTGGGGGTTCGAGATCAGCCTGGGCAACTTGGTGAAACCTCTCTCTACAACAAATCACAAAAACTAGCTGGGCATGGTGGCATGCATCTGTAGTTCCAGCTGCTTGGGAGGCTCAGGCAGAAGGATCGCCTGAGCCCAGCAGGTCACGGCTTTGGTGGCGGTGAGCGTGCTACTGCCATCCAGCCTGGGTGACAAGAGTGAGATTCCAACTCAAAAAAAGTAAATAAATAAAATAAATTTTTAAAAAAGGAAAAATTACCAAGACCACCTGCAATTTGACCCACAGGCCCTGGAAGAACATTTCTGAAATTTTAATATCTCACAGATGGAGACTAGGCTAAGCTGCTGGGGAAATCTGTGTTTCCGCTCAGCCGGAAGTACTCTCTCACGATGACATACACTACATCTGGAACATGAAGACCTACACATATTTGGCTAGGGTTAAGGCGCACCTACAGAGATGTTGGGGCACTGTAGTTTTGTGCTTCTTCAAGACTGGGTAAAACGGAAAGCTGCGTTGGACATGGTGGATCACGCCTGTAATCTCAGCACTTTGGGAAGCTCAGGCAGGAGGATTGCTTGAGCCCAGGAGTTCGAGACCAGCCTGGGCGACTTGGCGAGACTTGTCTCTACAATAAATAAAAAAATTCGCCGGGTGTGGTGGTGCATGCCTGTAGTTCCAGCTACTTGGGAGGCTGAGGCAGAAGAACCACCTGAGTTCAGGAGGTTGATGCTGTGACCCATCCAACTGCACTCCCAGCCTGGGCGACAGAGTGAGACCCTGACTCAAAAGAAAAAAAGTGCAGAGTAAGTAGAGAGGAGAATGGTGTTTCTACCCACTAATTTCAATATACTATGTTGTCTTTTTTGGATTGCAAACATTTCTCAGGAATCAAAATGTGTATGCCTCCTTTTATGTTTACTTACTGAAAAACTATTTCACAACCAATTTACTTCCAGTAAAGTGTACTGAAATCAAAAACAAGTGAAAATAGCTATTTTTACAGTTTATCCTTTTCCTAGCTTTCAAAATGTTTGGGCTAGAATCTCACACATTATCTTGCTATCCTTAAAGCTGTCCTCTCACCGGCTCACCACTTTTTTCCTGCTCTATTTTCCCCTACACTCGAAGCTGGGGACTGGGAAACTCCAAGGACCATTTTGCCCACCACTAGATTGCCCTTTGGCTCTTGCGAGCGTTTGAATCATCCAGAAGCTGAGGCAGGACTCACCACACCCTGGCAGGGCTTGAAACAGAAAACGAAGGCACCTTGATTCCCATTCCAAAGCCCCTTTCCTCAGACCCGCGCCCATTAAATCACCCAGGACACAACACAGGGTTTCCTCTGACGGGAAAGAAATACACTCTACCTTTTATGAGGTGAGTAATTCTGAAAGGCATTTTCTTCTCCAAAGGAATCCCAGGCCTTATGAACTATTAGCTTTGATATGGTCAAGAGCTCAGCTTCCCCATAAGTGGTGAGGAGAAAAACAGAGCACAGGACTCAATTCAGGTGGGGAATTCTGGCTTCGTTGCCAGACTAAGTATCTCCAAAAATTCCTCAGGGGAGTAAAGTCAGCTGCCTGTGTGGATGGCTGCCCCGCATCTCCGGAATGCACAGAGCATCATTCGGAGACGCGTTCCAGTTCGGTTGAAAACAGACACAAAGCGTGCTGTCTTCGAGCCGGGGTGCCCCAACGGCGTCCTCACTTCAGCGTCTCCTGCAGGCTTTCGTGAGGACACAAACTGGTGGGATCCAGCTCCGGCGTCTGATTCCGTGGCTTTGAGGTGGGACCCACGAATGTGCATTTCTCACCGGCGTTCCCAGGTGGAGCTAGGGTTGCCGGTTCCCAGAGTCCAGTCTGAGATCCGCTGTGCTGTCCTGATCCAAACACTTCAGGGCGCCCTGCTGGAGGAGGCCTAGCCCTCCAGGGCCCGGTGGCGTGTAGGGGAGATGGCCTGGCTGAGCCAGCCTGAGAACGGGACAGGCCCCCGAGACTGCGGCACCCCAGTACGCTCCGGGGCCTGGAGAGAATGAAGATTCTGGCCGGGCTCGGGGGCTCGGCCCGTCATCCC